CTGAGCTACCAGGGGAGGAGCTTGAGTAAGAATGTGTACGTATTTCGAGATGTCATCAATCACTGCTGTTAGTTGTAGAGATACTTTAGAAGGATGTTTTAGTAAGAACGTCTACATATTTCAAGATGTCATCAATCACTGCTGTTAGTTTTAGAGAGAGTTTAGCAGGACTCTTTAGTAAGAACGTGTAATATTTCAAGAAGTCATCATTCATTGCTGTTAGTTGTAGAGATATTTAGAAGGATTTTTTAGAAGAACGTCTACATATTTCAAGATGTCATCAATCACTGCTGTTAGTTTTAGAGAGAGTTTAGCAGGATCCTTTAGTAAGAACGTGTAATATTTCAAGATGTCATCATATCACTGCTGTTAGTTTTAGAAATACTTTAGCAGGATCCTTTAGTAAGAACGTATACGTATATCAAGATGTCATCAATCACTACTGTCAGTTGTAGAGATAGTTTAGGCAAAAACTTTTATTAAGACAGCTATGGTCGTTATTAGTTGCTTAATTTCGCCAGATCGATATTACAAAATTTTGTGGCAGCTTCAGCTTTTGCTAGTTTTTCGCAAATAAATGTTACGTATATTGTAGTTTTACATCTATTGTAAATCATACAAGTCAAACACTTTATAAAATTACAATTATAATTTCAGAACACATTTTTATATGATAATTACTTTTTGAAATTTTACCATTCAATATGGCTTCAAATACATTATTTTTGAAGGAGTTCAAAATGTATTTTAGAGAGATGTACTTATTTTATATAAAAATTACCGTGTTTGTATTACTAAGAACAGATCAACTGGAATACGAACAAATAATCTGTTAACATAAAGTGTGTTAATAGTTACAAATGGTCTTTAGGAGTAAATAAGTTTTTAGTGTGTGATTTTTATGTATTTTTAAAGTGAACTCGTACTTGAAATAATACATATAAAATATTTCTTGTTTGAAATTTAATTACACGAGCACACATTTTCTTTTGTAAACAAATACAGGGCTTTGTTTGTTTTGTTTTGCTAGTTAAGCACAAAGGTACATAATGGGCTATCTGTGATGTGCCTACCGAAACCCGATTTTTAGCGTTATAACTCCACAGACTTAACGCTAGGCCACTGGGGGGGGGGGTAAACATTAAGCGAAGAATCATTCAAGTTTTTCTATTTCTTCGACTAGAAAAATTATAGTATTGCTTTTACAAAAGTTATATTCGAGAACAAATCTAACGAAAAACAAACAAAAAAAAAACAACAAGAAACTGCTTTGATATACACACAGATTTGATAATGTTTTCCTACACAAGTATTTGGCTTCAGAATATTTCATTTTTAGAAATAGCTCCTGTTTTGATTAAAGGAGCTTGAATTTTAATATGGCTCGAGGTGTCTAGTCTAATTGTATACGGTCGCACAAATTTTTAACTAGAAACTGAAATTTAATGACAGTTGAATCGAACATTGAAAACATGCTTAAATTTCTTAGCGTACGTACACCGATGGCAATATTTGTAATTTACACTGAAGGAATGACTTTATATTGCTTCATTATCCTAGCAACCACCTCCTTTAAAGGGTAACACACTGGAAATACGAGCGCTTAGTAAACTTCTTCGCTTTTGAGATACATACAAGAAGATCAACATAGACACCAGGAAGAATTAATATTGCGTGCCGAGAAAGGTTCTAATTGAAACATTAAAGGACCTTATTATTTGCTAGATCTCTTAAGAAAGCACGTGTAATGAAGAAGATTGGAGACGCTAAGACTGTAAACGTAATCCGCTTAGATCAGGTAAACATTTGTAACAAAAACGAAATAGTTAATTCCAGTACAAATTGAAGCGGAAATTAAAGTCTATTGGTAATTTTGAAGGCCATTATTTCCCGGACCCTTAAAGGTTTTATAAGTCCAATACTTAAGAATTATTAAACTATAATAGAATTATTCAAGATTAAACACGAAAAACATCAAAAATTTAATTACAGGACAGCAACATAGTTTTCAATAACATGCTTAACGTATACAAGTGGTAGAATTATGCAGGAAAATTCAATAAAACATATATTCTTTCAGATACTTTAGGTATTAGGTTGAGATATTATGGTCAATCTTTACTGTGGAAATCATTCTTCTATATTTGTTTGTTTTTTGGGGGGTTCAATGAGATATTAAAAAACAAACAAATATAGGAGAATGATTTCCACAATAAAGGTTGACCATGGTTGAAATCATTAATATTTCAGGATTAGTTTAAAAGCCATTTTGAGATAAAATGATTTTGACTGAAAATATTGATCGAAGGTTGGTAACACAGACCATTTTATAGAATATAACTAACGATAACATGTCTAATAAGGGATATAAAAATGTTTTATGGAATACCAAATGTATAACGTAGGTAGTTACTTTGTATTCTTTCTAAGTATTAAAATATACCTTTTTATAGTTGCGTCACGTCAGCTTGGTCGTCCCTTTTGTGAATGAACCACAACAGTATTCAAGAAAAGCCAATAAAAAAGATCTATTACGTCCTTAGATCAAAAACAAAAATGCCTTTGTGTATAATTGTGAACTGAACTAAATAACAAGGAAAAGTGTATGTGGCTGCATGCTTTTCACTTTATGTACCCTTCTCGTCACGGACAGACACAAAGCACAAATGAGCTATGGTAAACTACCTTAACTAAATGGATGAGGAGGTGGGGAGGTGCACATATATTGTTAAATTATATGCCACTATTCCAAATTCTGGGGCCCGGCATGGCCAGGTGGTTAGGGCGCTCGACTCGTAATCTGAGGGTCGCGGGATCGAATCCCCGTCACACCAAACATGCCAACCTTTGCCTGGTCCCAAATCCAGGATGAGAAAGGGGGGGGGTGGGTTGGGCGCGGGACTAGCAACTCCACCCCGTAAAAACCAACCTGCTACAAGTAACTGCAACAACACCTTCCGTTGGCGAGGTGTTGTTGCGGCCCTATGATCCACTGGGAGTTTACAGGAATAAAAAAAAAAATACAAATTCTGAAATATTTAACAATTCCAGACATCCCTCTTTAGTGATGTTCATTTTAGCAAAGTTATTGAAAACTACAAAATTAGTCAGACAAATTAGAAGCAACACATTAAGCAAAAACACTAGAAACAACACAATTTAAGATAAAGATTTGAACCCATATCAAATTTTATCAGCTCAACTAGAATGATGAGAGGGAACGTAAATACCACCTTCAAAAATATTATATTTCTTTTTTTCACAGTTCTATGTTAGAAGAGAGGGAAAAGTTAAATTTTAAAATGAATATTATTGGAGCTATCGGCTTAAAAAACTGATTTGACATACATTTCTGTTGTTCGTGGAAGACAACCAGACTGACTTATCTACACACCCGAGAATACGCATTAAATCATTTGCGCTTGCGTGTTTTGTTTCTAAAATATTCATCATTTACCATCAGGCTTTGAAATACACGCTTGCTTGCACGTGTAAACCTGTAAGCATTGTCGATAGTTTTTATCTCCCCCTCCCGCCCCCAACTCTTTACATATATCACCAGCATTGCAAGTTAAGGTAATGGGCTTTTGATGTCATGCTATCAAAAGACAACTACGCACTTTGGCTATTTGATAAATTTTGCTGACATTGCATGCATTAATTTCATTTACCAACTTTCTTTAGATTTTGCGAACACTGGAAAGGAGATTGTGAGCCTATATACAGATTTTAATTTAATTTGTTTCTCATTTTAAAAAGATGAAACTTCTGCATATTTTAATGCTGTATAAGTTTTGCATTTGTGTTGTGATCTACTTTGGTTGGCGTGCTGTACAGTGTGGTATATTCTATCTGTATTGTAGTACATTGTGTTGCGATCTACCATGCTTTGCGCTGTGTAGAGTGTGATATATTCAATCTGTATTGTTGTGTACTGTGGTGCGATCTACTTTGGTTGGCGTACTTTATAGTGTGGTATATTCTATTTGTATTGTACTACGCTGTGTTTTGATCTACTTTGGTTGGCGTACTTTATAGTGTGGTATATTCTATTTGTATTGTACTACGCTGTGTTTTGATCTACTTTGGTTGGCGTACTTTATAGTGTGGTATATTCTATTTGTATTGTACTACGCTGTGTTTTGATCTACTTTGGTTGGCGTACTTTATAGTGTGGTATATTCTATTTGTATTGTATTACGCTGTGTTTTGATCTACTTTGGTTGGCATGCTTTACAGTATGGTATGTTCTAACTGTATTGACGTGCACTGTGTTGTGATGTACCATGCTTTGCGCTGTGTAGAGTGTGATATATTCAATCTGTATTGTTGTGTACTGTGGTGCGATCTACTTTGGTTGGCGTACTTTATAGTGTGGTATATTCTATTTGTATTGTACTACGCTGTGTTTTGATCTACTTTGGTTGGCATGCTTTACAGTATGGTATGTTCTAACTGTATTGACGTGCACTGTGTTGTGATGTACCATGCTTGGCGTTATGTAGAGTGTGGTATATTCTATCTGTATTGTAGTGCATTGTGTTGTGATCTACTACGTCTAGTTTACTGTCTGTGTGGTATATTTTACATGTATTGTAGTGCATTGTGTTATGATTTACTATGTCTAATTTACTGTCTGTGTGGTATATTTTACATGTATTGTAGTGCACTGTGTTGTGATCTACTACGTCTAGTTTACTGTCTGTGTGGTATATTTTACATGTATTGTAATGCATTGTGTTATGATTTACTATGTCTAGTTTACTGTCTGTGTGGTATATTTTACATGTATTGTAGTGCATTGTGTTATGATCTACTACGTCTAGTTTACTGTCTGTGTGGTATATTTCACATGTATTGTAGTGCATTGTGTTATGATCTACTACGTCTAGTTAATATCTGTGTGGTATATTTTACATGTATTGTAGTGCACTATGTAACTTTTCTTTTCATCACCAAGGAAAGTGACTTGTGAAATTTGATTAAAATCTGCTTTTTAGAACTCTAGTTATCGTGCGGAAAGGAAATGGCTACAGATGGATGGACGGAAAAAGACATCGCTGTATTTTCTCGAATGTTTTCGCAAAATGAACTTTTCGTATCAAAACATGACACCAGGGCTTAGTGCACTATAATTATATAAATAAACAGAACTTACTACATAAATTTAAGCGATCATTGTATTAATATTTATGAAGCTTTATACGCGTTCTGTTAGAGCAGTGGTTCTCAAATTTTTCCGTCTGGGGACCACTTCAGCAGGACAAAAAAAAAACAAAAAAAAACAACTCATCAGAATTAATGGGAAGAATGGCGCTGCTTTTGATGTGACTGGCATGTTATGCCAGTCGACGGACCACCAGTGGTCCGCGAACTACACTTTAAGAACCACTGCGTTAGACATAACCAACAGCAAAATAGGAGAATCGAACATTAAGTTTCATTTTATGGCAATTATGAGTTAAGGTTACAACCGATGCGGCAGGTTTCAGGAAAAATAAATAACGTCTATACACTGAGTGGTCACAAGTAAATAGAC